TCACATCTGGTCACCGCTTCCACTTCCAGGTTCCAAAACAAATGTGGGCTTTGATACCAGATCCATCCATCTCCTGACTGGTCACAGGCAGGGATGGAAACCAGCGTACGTGTCTGTTTTCATTTGTATGACAGCAAGTGAGGGTTGAAAAGGAACGGAGAGATTAAGTGAGAAACAGGTCACCAGAGTGTGGGTGCGGAGTGTGAAAGAACACAGGTACCCTCCAGATGGATTCTCCACATATAAATAAATGCTAATCAGTGTGATACAGTGTGCTGTGAAGCACTCTGGCTACTGGACTGCAAAGAACATATGCTGCTGCAGCATCTGAAAAGAGAGAGAAGCCAAGTACATCAACATAATTCAGCTAAATCATAATGCATGATTTATTTTAAGATATTTTAGAATGCTGGTGTGTATTTTCAAATTAGACTGCATGACTGTGTTTGACAGAAAAGAGGCCAAATCCACCGCTTTCCAAAAGAAACACAAGAGGGAAATGATTGATGAGAATCAGAATCTGCTGAAAAAACAAAACACTTGGTGTTTGAAGGAACTTTTGAGCAGTAGCCAGTTTAAGGCAATCAAGTCTCTTTGCCTTATAACCCACCTTTTCCTCTACACCGACCATTTAAAATCTGTTTTGTTTTCCTAGATCATATCAACTCAATTTATGTATGAACATCTTACAAACTGCACATAATAAGGGAATCAGCCTCAGCAGTTTAAAAAATCTTAGTGCTTACACTCCTAGGGACAATGTTGCAGAGATCATATATTTTATATGCAAGGTGAATAAAGGTCACCATACTATCATTTTGTTTGTAATGTGGGAGCCTTGAAAATACGTAAACCATCTGTTACATCTAGCTACTTCCAGGAAGGACAGGGCCCTTTAAAGTGGTGCAGACGGAGGTGTTGAAATCCCTAAGAGGAGAGGAAGAGACAAAAATACTACTGTGTAAATAACAGGATGCAAGTTATTGTAGTAGATATAACTGCTTAGGTTACAGGAAAAAAACAAAGCTCTTTACTTCTAAATTTGCCTAAAGTAACTTTGTGTTTTGATGTTTTTCTGAATTCAAATATTGCTCATGCAGATGTATTTTTTTTCAATTATTTACAAAGAGAGTGTGTTATTTTGGTGCTTCAAACTCTAACATCTTAACAAGGTGCTGTGATTTAAATATGCACTGAGCACTGAATGCTTTTTGTGAATGCTCCTGGTCGCTAAAAACGATGGATGTTCATCTGTGGGCAAAAACCCATTGGTTATTGTCACTTTTTTACCAAGCTGTCCAATAGAAGTGACGGAAGGGCGGGCCAAATATAGGACCTGCTACATCTTGCATGTACAAGTTTGGGACAACAACTCTGCAGTTGAAATCATGATTGCTGGTCACGCATGACTATGTACTCTACCTTTTGCTGAAATCTTAACTCCAACACATATTCTTTAAAGCTCCTGTAAGGAGGTTTGAGCTGGTAAATAATTAATACTGATGCCTCTTGATGACCTCCAAAAGCAAGCAAGACCATGGGTGTCAAGATAGACCATTTTGATATAGTTATTTTGAATGCCTAAGACTGCTGCTGTGAGGTAGGTGTCACACGAGAAGTTATCAGTACACTGCAGAAATAAACTTTATTTATATTTTCCATTGCAAAACAAAACAGTCATTGGACTGACTGTTAAAAGGCAGCAAGTGGAGATTTTATGTAAAAAAAAAAAAAAAACACGATGATACATTTAATGTACAAGATCAGAAGGCAATGAGAGGTACTGATTTGTCCAGAGGGGGTGCCAAAATCAAGAAAAAGTGACAAGGCGAACTAAAAACATCTCTACTCACACTTAAAAAAATAATAAAATAATAAAATAAAAATAATACTGCGCATCCAAAGGCGCCTTCAAGGGCTCATAATGTGTGTTTTTAGAGAAGTGCATGAGTTTACATCTGGTTGTACTAATGTAGGTCTTCATTAGTACAGTTTTAACGGTGGCAGTTTGACAAAATATGAACAAATACATGATCACTTTAACTAAAGCAGGGGTCGAAAGTGTCATGCCCCTTTGCATTAGACATTACCTCCAAAAATCATTGACAGAAACTTGTCAAAAAGATGATTTAGTAGAGAGCAATACCATCTCCTCCTGAACATCATTTTGATTCCTCTGATCATTTCCGGAGGCTAGAATCCAATAAATGATTCAGAAATGTTGCTTTTTTTTAATGGTCCTTCACTAATGTGGGGCAGAGCCCAAAAGCTTTGCTATCAAAATTTCAACTGCACCACCATATTAATGTCCGGAGGGGTAGCCGCTGCATGAAATATATAAGCTGAGGATTTTAAAATGCCCTGATCTGAAAGGCTTGAACTGAAGTGAGAGAATAAGATGAGCTTCTTCTTTTTGTTTTATCATCACCCCTGGCTGCTTGGGAATAAGCTTAAAACCCCTGGCATACATTTATAAATATGTTTCTGACTTGTCCAGCCACATAGCAGACTTCGCCTCAGTCTGATACACACAGGCCTTTTGGAGACACCGTTACACATAACCCTGAATTCAGTCCCATCTGTGGGACCAAAGGTCATCCTTCCAGCAGTTCCCATTTCACTTTTGCACTTCTTATGCAGAAAAACAACCGTGTGTTCATGACAGCGAAGAAATATCGCTGGCCTAGTTTCTAGCAGTATAAAGATTGAATCATGGGAGGCAGCACCCTTTGTAGCAGCAACAGGAGAAAAATGATTAAATAAGGTGTGTTATTATTGCTCTCATTCTCATCTTCCATCACTCAGTGAGGACCTGACACTGTATCAGGTATCACTGTATCACTGTATGCTGTAACAATGACAACAGACAAATTGTACTTAGTGCTTTCACAATGGATTTATGCAGCGGTTGCTCTTGCTGCTGACACAAACTATCTCAGGGATCAGAGAGCCCTTTAGCAATTTTTGGTCTAAATGTAAAAACGTCTGCCCTTTTCTTTAAACATGCGGCGCCCTCGTGTTCCAATAAAGGCTACAAAAACAAATTAAAACACTACAAGCATTAGGAAGTCACTGAATTGTAAACAAAAATCTGCAACTGCGGTGCCACAGGCAGCAACGCAGTCACTGTGGCTCGATGAGTCTCGCCAACACTGCGCTAAATATTCATTAAATTAATGGAGGTGAGGTGGAAGCAGGAGGGCAGAATGCCACGGGTTGTGTTTGGAACCGCAGAGGCTACAGGAATGTTGTTGCTATGAACACACAAATGTCAGCTCACACTGAATTTTTCTGCATTACAACTAATGGAGATTAGCAGCTGCAGGTTTGTTTGGTGCAACTGCAGGCATATATAGGCCTGGTTTTGCAATTTTAAATGTAAGCAAGCAAACAAACAAACATGTGGTTATAGCTGAATGTGAAATATGTGTTTGCCGTGCATGTCTGAGGCTGAGCTTGTCATGCTGTATGCGGTTTAAAGAATGTCTACTTTATTAGAGGATGAAAGAACCAGGACAAGCTGACAAGATTTGAAATACCATTCTCTACTTTTACACGAGGAAGAATAAAGAAAGTCCTTAAAAGACAGCATGGTGCTGTCACCTGAGCGCCAACGAGCACAGCCCCCGTGTTGCAACCTGCGGTGATCAGAATCTTCTCAAGGCTGCCCTCCTTATTTACCTGACAGCTCCTTCCCTCTAGCAGCCAGCAGGAAAGTGGAGACTATTTAAGAGAAGTCCAAGCAGGGCGCTAAACGTCGCCTCTTGTCAGTAACAACACCAGTGTCTGAGCTTTCCCTGGCTCTCTACCAACAATAACTGCTCCGTGCAAGTTAAAATACAGAAGAAAAAGAATGTGAGGGATTTAGAGTTGAACATGCAGAAAATTGTTGTTCATATTGGGGAAAAAATTGACAAAAAAAAGAGACAGAACTGGTAAAAAAGAAGAAAAAAGGCCAACTTCTTTCCTTAAAAGCTTAACGAAAACCCCAACGAGAAACTACACTTCCCACAATGCAGCATCAAATATTAACCTGCAATTATACTTTTGCAACAACGATACAATTTTCATCACTATGACATCATTACAGTCATTGTTTTCAAAGCTCTTCTAGGGCCACAGAGCATATTATACAACCATTTTCTCAGGCCGAGTAGTACTCTCAGTGATGAATAAAGTGATATTCATCTTGAGTGAATGAGTCACCACAACAGGGACGGGACAAAGGGACACGGGTACATACTGCAAATCCTGTATGCTATGTATTTTCAGGCTCTGCAATTAAGCATCCTTACACAACAGTGCACAGGTTTTGATATTCAATCTAAAAAGGGGTAAGTGGAGGAGACAGGCACGGGGGGGAGAGACAAAAAAAGAGATGGATGGAAGAAGAGTCCAGGATCCCCTGATATTTGAGACAGGCTAAAAATAGCCACACTGGAGCAGAGATGTGAATCAACTGTACTCCTCAAAGTCTCCAGATCGGAAGGAGAAAAAAAGAAACCCTGCATATGTTCACCTCTATGCAAAAGGTGAACACTAAGTGTGATGGGAGTTGGCACAGGGTGCCACGTATAGGTTACAACGCTGTGTTTGAAGTGTGTCTCGTACTGAATCTGAACCCTCCTCATTCCTGAATGATCCGTAATGTTACTCCTCGTTTGGCTATCAGTCACTGGAGCAACTCGATGGTTGAATCGAGTCATGGAGCTAGAACACTGAAACTTAAAGACATATTACTGAATTTGTTTTTCATTAGATATCAATGGCTGTCTGTCTTCATGAACATGTTCTGTTGAAGTTGGAACAAAAAAAACAGGGAAATGGATTGTCCTGCTGTCAAGTGGGCACAGTATGTCCACCAAGCATGCTGCCTTTTAGGGATTTTGTCACTGTTTGCATTTCTCTCTGCAAGAAAGCAAGGCAATGTTTGCAAGTCAAAGTTGCATTGTGGATGTGTTCATACTAAACGAGTCATACATCAAGAGTTCTGAACTTACCGTACAGTAGATCTCTGAGTAGTCAAGGGCAAAGATGTGTTATTTTCTGATCCTCTGCAGTCCACAAAAGCCAAACACTGCACCTGCAGAAACAAAATAAAATACATAATTAATGTATATATGATGTGGCACAAATACTTAAGTATTCAGGACTTAATCATACATCAGTATAAGCTGACAGTTTTTTATGTTAAGTATGAATACAAAGGCCTTGGTAAGTAAGTTAAACATGTACAATGTGAAACCTTCCCACTCTCTCCTTCTATCGCCTCATATCACTCTGCTCAGTCGCTAAGCAGCGCTTCTCACTCCTTCGAGAAAAAAAAAAGCACAGCTGATAGAAGTTAGCCTTCAGGGCTTCCTGACAGCGGCTCTAACTCGTTCTCTCAGTCGGTGTGTTCTGTGCTAGAGGGCTGAACAAGAGACTGTCGCTCGGTGAGCAGATAAGACATGCAGCACCCAGATGACCCTCGTTCGTACAGGCATTGTGATTGGCCGCTTAGGTTCAAGCTAAACCGGTTTTAAACAGAATGGATCCAATTTTTTAAAAGTTGAAACACATGAACTCATCAGTTAAATATTGATAGTCACATGCAGTCAAAGAAGTTATTTCAACCACTTCATTGTGGAATAATATGTCCTTAGCAGCTTTAAATATATACTACATGTACAAAAATTAAATACATATGATGTTGTTGGATTTCATTAAAAAATAAAGCCATCACACATTTTAAAGCAATGATAGAAGTCTGGTTTAAGTGAGTGAACCTGCATAAAATCTAAAGGAAATAGGGACACTCTTCTTTAATCTGTAATGCTGAAACTGCAACCTCAGTCACGCACAGGGTGTATGACTTCTTAAAAGGAGCCGGCACGACTTTTTTGAGGGGATGCCGCACATGCAACTCCGGAGCAGAAATGAAGAAAAACCAGGCCAATATCTCCACAGGCAGTTAGGATGTCGCATATGACCACAGCATAAGAAGAAACCTCAGGCTAGCTGATCCCTTCTCTTGGCAACTCTCACCAGCACCACGCACATCAATACTACAACACAGCAGAACTAACAACAGAGCTAACAACACAGTGGCAGTAAATGGCCAAGGCATCCAGAGAGGTGCCCGAAAAAGGAGCAGATGCTGCCCCTTTGTCCAATCCCATTAGTGACAGTGATCCCCACTGTTACAGGCACAGGGACAGGCGGCCTTCTTGACAACAAAAATGGAGGTGACACTTGTAAGGTTTGGTATGATCTCAACCTGAGTGGGAGGCTTCCAGATAAATAAAATCAAATCACTTGTCTCTCACTGCACAATCTTTGAAACACAGAGACATGTGGAGAAAAGATCTAAAGATGCAGGTTTAGGCAAGAGTAGTATACGGTAAGTAGCACATTTAAATATGATACAAACTCACACAAATTAAAGGTCATGTGAGTAGTTTTAAGCTGGTTAGGAAATACCCTAAAATAATTATAATTGCTGCCTCTTAAGATCTGCAAATGAAACCATCAGCATAAAGATTATTTCTATATACTTATTTGACTGCCTGAAACCGCTGTGCTGGGGGTAGGTGTAATATCAGTTGATGAACAGCATGCTGCAGAAACAGCCTTTACATTATCCACAGCAAAGATTTTCCGTGAGCGATGCACATGGCATTGAAAAAATTAGATTTTTTTTTTTGTTGCAAACCCATATTTATACATACATACAAAACAGCAAAGAGAAAAAGGATACCACTTTGTCCACGGGGGGGCGCCAAAATCAACATAAACCCAAACGTACTCACTGGAGTTTTAACATGGTGATTTCAGCTGTTACTAAATACACTAATTAAAAGAACAGGCACAGTCAGTGTGATGTCACCCATTGGTTTGTGCCCTACTGTTGGAGACTCAAGTTTAGAATTTAAGTTGTTGCAATATTGGCTTTATGGAGTCAACGTTGCACATATTTTGGGGGGTTTTGCAAATATTGGTACAATTCTTTAGTGGTTATTGGTATAGCATTCACTACTTTATCATCAGTTTGCCCTAAATGGGACTATACTTTACAAATGAAACAATGCTGGACTGAAGATACCGTCAAGTAACTTGTTTTTGGACAGAGGTTTGTATTTAGTTGATTTGTGTATCAATATTAATTTGTTTCTAATGAATTAACTTTATTTTTCATAAATTGCAGGTCTCTTATTCCTTGTTTTCATTTTTGTAGTTGTTGTTAACCTCATCCTCTAGTAATCGAGGAACTTAACACCCCTTGTTTTATATTCGAACAGAACAAACTCTTTCTCAAAAGACTAAGCTTGTCCTTTTTAAAACAGGCTTGTGGGGTGAGAGTACCACACCATATGGTATCTGCATTGACATATGGCAACGTGGACACAGTCTACCACACTCGCCAATGTCCTGTGGATATGAATATGTGTGTGTGTGTGTGTGTGTGTGTGTGTGTGTGTGTGTGTGTGTGTGTGTGTGTGTGTGTGTGTGTGCATTATCTGTATTCAACACATCCACCAAGGTGTTTTGTTGCCTTTCAAAACTACAAGGATATCTTACTCAGGAGTCACCTTCCACAAAGTTAACCCCGATTTACATATTTTTCCATGCAACATGTGCATGTTCATATTACTTAGCATGCATATATCGCTGTCTGTGTCAGAAAAGTGCAGAAAAGGTGACCGGAGGCATTTTAGACTTAAAGATTTTAGTACCAATGCACGCAGCTCAGGTGAAATCAGGCAAGAGCTCAATGTCTGAACAGTGTGGGTGCAGTTTCATCACTCTTTAAATTCTTATATAAATCATATATTTAAACACCTCCCCTTCACTTTTCTGCAAACAGGAACATGTCCATACCTATTTGACTGGGGTGGCCCAACAGAGGCACTGACTTATGCAGGTGTGGCCTGAAGTGTGACATGCGCACTAACACAATTACAAATCACAGTCAAATTTGGTATATAAGACGCACTGGTATGTAAGACGCACCCTGTTTTGAAGGTCTCTTAGAGAGAAAAAAAAGATTAAACTGTGTTGCTCTTAAGTTCCGTCTGTTTTCACTTTCGGGAGTTTGCACTCCTACTAGCTACAGTACGGTAGTTGAGCTCTCAGCCTGCTGCAGGGAAAGTTGTGAGGCTAGCTTGCGGCGCTGTTAGTACCGCTGCCCGACTCCACTGGTCACTCTTTATCTGTAATATGGGACTCTTTCAATCAAAAGAACGCTCTACAAGGTTTATTTACGGAACAATATATCACTGTTTTCTGTAAAGGCATGATTATGACCTCGTGAGGGAGAAAAGATGTGGAAAAATTCCTGCAGCCAGCCTGGTCTGTGGCGCCGTCTTTCCCAGCACAGCGTGCACTCAGCTTTCAATGGGTTTTTAATCACGTCTTTCTATCCTAACCAATAATATCTCTTTATAACACAAGATAAAGGCAACATTAACTTAATTTCTTAAAGAAACAAAACGATGTATGTTCAAAATCAGAATTTCAATTACTTTAAAAAAAATCCTCGCAAACTCCTGCATAGTCTTAACTGCAAAAATACATAAATTGGCAACGTTTCAGTCCCCACACATTACCAGTTTGTTTACTGAACAGAGTGTTAAGAGTGCATTACTTTCCTATGCACCTGTCTTAAGAAATTGATGTGCAAAGTTTTGATTTACATTTTAAAGTATGAACAAAAGTGAACATTCTGCACAGATATTTCAAAAAGACATATTTGAATAAAACACAAGTCCCGCCTCTGACAGGGTAAATAGCCAATCACAGTTTAGGATTTTTGGGGTGGCTAATCAGACTTCTAGGGGGGCCCATGCCACCCCTGGAAACCCCTCTGGACACGCCCCTGGCTGCATGGTACGCCCACTGAATAAAACGTCACCATCCCTTCTGCTCTTCATATTCACCATTATATACCCAAACTATATCTGGCTCACAAGTATCAGGGCTGATGTAATGTTGATATAACAGATTGTTTTGTGCTGCACTGGAAAGACTGTGAATCCAATAAACAGGGAACTTACCTTGAGATGGTCTTGCTGCATCAACTTACCACACACAGTATTTGTTATTATAAACACTTTTCAGCTCTATGTCATGATGCAAGATGCATGCAGGAATGTTTTGCAGACAAAGAATAACAAGGTAATGAACATAGAGCAGAATATGAAAGAGCTTTGGTTGTTTATGCCTACAAAGAGTTAGATTTGTTACATAAGTCAGCCGTGAGTTTCTATGACTCACCTTGCGTTTTTCTCTCTCTTGTATCGTGTGATAAAAGTAATGCAACAAAAGAAGGGGACAGGCTACGCTAACACTTGTGCAGCCTTTCTCTCAGGGCGCTACAGCTAATTTAGCTGTAGCAGGAGTGAATAGATCAGTGTGACTTGAAGAACATTCACAGCCACGGCTTCTCTCCGCTGTGGGGGAATCTGTCTTGCCTCCTCCGCTAACTATCAAGTGCAGTAGAAAAGGAGTGTGAGGGCTAGCAGTGACAGCGGAGGTTGAAGGTTGCTCGCTTTGGAGCTATGAGAATGTCTGGAGTGAAGCACAACTATGGAACAAAATGAAATCTCATTACAACGCTGAATTGTGAGGGACGCATTATTTTTGCTGAAATGATGGGGTGTATCTTGTACCACAGAGCTGACCCCCCTCCAGCAGAAGGACGAATCTGCATCATGTGCTTCATCCTGACAGTTGTTTGCAGCCTGATGCTAAGTCTGCTGCAAAATTCTCAGCAGCTGCAAATCTTGTTCAATCCAGCTCCTGATTCAGTGATGTTTTTTTGCACAGACTCTGCATTCTCCTCAACTACCTCTGCAGATCCACGAGAGCAGTCAAACACCGTGGCAGATGTCAATCGTGATGCTTCAAAGACAACGACTTGTAAGCAATTTGAGGTTAATGAAGCAGGAGCCGAATGCTTAGGTTTGCTGATCCTTAAATGAGCCTCGCACATCATCATCATCATCAGCTTCTGCATTTGTGAAACGTGAAGACTAAACTGTTTTCAAGCGCAGACTGTTGTTAATGGAGCCTGCCTCGAGCTAATCCAAACTTTAAACAGTG